CTTTAACCATGCTCCTGTTCTAGCCTCTATCTATGATAGCTTTTGAGGATCCACCTCCTGCACGAGAGAAATAGGAAAAGGTCACAGCAAGCCTTAGGTTTGCTGGGTTAACGTTTTGTAACAACCAGTCCAATGCTGCATTGCTTCATTGTTCAAATTCTGCAGACAGTCTATCTGATGTTTTGATCAGTTGTTAATATTTAATTGTTAATTCACTGTTTAATTTAATTCTGATTTCACGGCTGCAGTATTCACTCCTCATTAGCTCATTACCATGCCACAATGCAGATCTATTTTAGTTTGGTTGTTTATTTATTAGCAAAAAACCTTCCAGAACGTACACAGGGCTTATTTTTTCTTTCAAAATCATAACCCATCCCTAAAGCTAAAGACATTGCAGGTGAGCTCAGATATTAAGGTATTTCCTTAATATCTATTTACATCCCATTCAGTCCAGTTGCAATTTCCAGCTGAGGCCCAACATTTAATCCTCCAGAGCCAACAGCCTTTTAGGCTTCTCCAGATTTTCACTAAATTCCAAGGAACATTTTTGTATGTTTGGGCATCTCAATCTCATTGCTTCATTTCCCAGGATATAGGTAGAGTCAGGGACATAGCTGAGAGCTGGGACTCTCAGGTTTCCTCACTGCTGTACCCACCCCATGGTGTCTCCTTGAACTTGGGGCTCCCCATTGCCCTCTCCACTGAGAGCACACAGCTCGGTGCAGTCTGCCAGGGATCTGGCTGGTTGCTGGTTATGGAAAATAATAAAGTCCTGTGGGTAAGCTCTTTGCTAAGTTGATTTCATGCCTTACAGGTAGATATTGATTTCCCATTTTGATATACGCAAGTGAGAGAGAGAATAAAACAATGACATCTGCAATGGCTGTCCTTTTCTGCATGCAGCATTTAATCTTCTCACTACCTCAGTCAGCCTTGTTTATAAAGGCTCTTAATAATTCTGGCTCTAATTAGCACTCGCTCTTACTATGACCTTGTGAACTAGACTATCTCCTACTGCAGCTGCATGAATATTTTCTAAAATATGGATTTCCTTACTTTTCACACACATTGTAATATGATTTAGGTGTGAATTTGGTAGATCTGAACAATTATTTTCAGTAGATAAGAATGTTACTTCAGAATTCTATTTTCCTTACATATTGTAATATTCGTGAGATATAATAAATGCAGTTGCCTTTGAATATTGTGTTTCTCTAACCCACGTCTGAGTTTTGCCCAGAAAGGTGCTTTGCCAGGTCACCTGCTCTGACTCCCATGAGGGAAATCACTGCCCTCCTGCAAGGACACACACAAGGCAGCAGCACAAACCGGACCAGCCCTTGGGAAAGTGGGGTGTGACTTCTAGTCATTTTATAAACTTTCCAAGTGAGAGAAGTAAAATTTCACCAAGAAAGTGAGTCTTTCTCTCTCATTTGGGGCTGGACCCTCACATTTTGCTCTTCTGCATCTGTTAAATATTGTGGGCAAGCGATTTATGACCAAAATATTCCGTCCAAGTACTGTTATTGGGAATGGAGAACAATTTTCTCCCAGTAGCTCTTGGGTCCCTGCTGTAAGATGCCTTTGAGCAAGAAAGGAAAGAGACAGACTTGTGCCATCTAGTGACCCAAAGAGAGTGGGCATCCGTCCCCACCCCTATCCTCTTCCTGCGCAAAAAGCCAAAGCCTTTAGCCCATAATCCAAAGTCTTCAGATGATAATAAAAAGCAGATTAATGAGCATTTCTATTATTTTCCCATCTTTCATGTGCAACCCTCCTGGAAGCCCTGACTGATCCCCTGTTATGACTCAGCTGGCTTTGGTTTTGTTCTGTTTTGCCTGAGAGCCAGTTTATGACTTTATTATTCAGGCCTCGATATGCGGAGGTGAAAGTCCAGCCGTGCACCTCGCCACGTTCCCTTCGTCTTTTGCTTCCAGATAGTCACCAAGCAATTAGCTCCTATACTCTGATCCCATTTCCCCTTCTCAAGGCAACAAATGCATCTGTCTTCTTGTGTTTTCTGGGTTGTTCTAGAGCAGTTTGCAATTTCTTCTCAAAGTCAGCAGAAGTGTAAGTCAGAGGATGAGTGGCAGTCAGAAGGTCACAGCAGAACAAGTGCTTTTGCAAAGCAGACCCCATTCCTAAGTTGATGAATCATACAGAAACGGCTCATCCTTCCTTACAACTCTGGAAATATCAGCCAAACTGCATTAACTGTTCTCATTAAGGGCTGAGTGCTTACAAAAGCATAAGATACCAGGCAAAATCTCTGCTTTTGTAAGAATGGGAACACAGGTCTGGAGAAACCTTGCCCATTCTGCTGGAGCACCTGGGATTAAGGGGGTAAGCTGGGAGAAGCAGCTTTCGTAGGCAATGGTAGGTCAGTGGGGCCATCCCAAATACATTTTCAGAAAGAAGGAACCCATCCTTTTCTCTGTTTCTATTATCAGGAAGCCAAGGACCAGGGCAGTGCCCACTGAGCTCCCTCTCAGGGTACCCTCCTTCCCTACCCTAAGTCAGCAGCAAGGTCAGTTTATGCCCCCCCCAGCAATCCTACACAAACTCTTTTTTGCAGATGGCTCCTGGTCTTCTGCAGTTTTTGGAAACATCCATGGCTCCTGTCATGTTGCACAAGTACCATAGCACACAGGTTCTCCCATGCTGGTGACTCCAGCTGGAGCCTAATTTTGTGACAGCCACTAGCTTGCTTTACTATAAGCCACTTGACACAATTTTGATGGCATAATTTTATTCCTTTTGTGAATAATTAAAGCACCCCAACCGTGAAGCTGAATGCACTTGAAGGCACACTAATAGCACGGAAACACAAACCTGTTTCCCATAATGTTCCTGCAAGAGCAGCAGCCTCCTGGGTGCGTTGCTGAAAGCCTCGCTTGCCCTCTGTTGGGTGGCTGGGGAAGGACTTACCTCCTCAACAATCAGTGCCACTCACTGGACCTTGAGAAATAGGGATACAGAGTGATGGAGGCACTGAAACCAGAGCAGTCCTTGCTTGTTAGCCTTCTCCAGCCATCTGATTAGAAGGTGACATTAAATGAAATGAAAGGCAGCAATTTATTTAGAGCCGAGCAATTAATAAGCGGGAGATGGTAATGTCTTATGCAGCTTATAATGCAGACAACCTGTGGAGTTCACTTCCACAAAGGGGTCACTGAAGCAAAGGCAGCGTGTGTGGGTGGGAAGGAAATGATGGCTGATTTAATGCCCGCTAGCGGGCTATGCAAACTGAAGTGACAAACATAATCAAATCTCATGCTTCAGGGCATAAATTGAAGGGGTTGAGTAGTGGAAGCAGTTATGTATATAAAAGGTCTGATCCTGAGAGGTGCTGATTACCTGCAATTCTTACCAAGTTCAGCCAGCGAAAGGACACTCAGGAATTGCTTGACTTCTGCGCTGGCTGAGTCTGTACTTGCTAATTTTCCTTATTAATAAACCCTGTAATATTTTAGCCTGCTGGCAAAAACATTCATTTTGCTACAGTAACATTTATTTCCTTTCACACAAGAGTCAAACATTAAAGCTGCTTCTAAAATAAGATTTTATGGAGATAATTTGTGGTGGTGCTGGCAGAGAATTTGTCTCTCAAAATATGCTATAATTCTTTATCTAGTGAAGGTACTTATATTGCCTCATTATGAGAATATGTGAGCACTTTATAACCTTTAGTGGATTTATCTTCCCAGTTTCCTTCTGGAGCAGGGGAACTGGTACTAACCCCACTCTACAGGTGGGGAGCTGCTCCACAAGTCAGGCTGTGGGCTTCCATTAACCTTCTGGGGTACCTAAGGTGGACTCAACTGCCCACTCATAGCTCCCCAGGCACGTGGTGCATTGTACTAGGTGTGACATTTACCTCCTGCACCAAGGGGGTCTGATTGCAGCCCCCAGCCCTCTCCTCTGAGGCCGCAGAGGCAGAGAGGTCAGGAAGGCTGAATCCAGCCTTCAGTGACCTGCCCATGACAAACAACAGAAATCTTTGCTTTCATCCGAAATCCAGCTAAGGGGGAAATTCGGCATCTCTCCTCAGTAATTTGAGAACTAGGCAGGCTAATACCTCTTAGGAATGGCTTAGGTAGACCTGATCCTGCTCGGGTATAAGGCAGTCTTCTTGAAGTCTTTTCCCATCCTGTCTACAGCAGTCACCTCAAAGAAAATTATGTTCTTTATCCTAATAAATTTCTGTAGCTAAGCACCAAATGCCTAACCCCTAATTTATGTCTGTGGGGAACTGCCACGTGGGTCCTGGGTTATTCCAAGCCCTTTAGATCTGCAATGCCAGGGGCAAGAATAGCTGGGGACAGTCACCAGGAAATTAAGAGCAGCTTAAATGAACAAACTCACCTTTTTCATCTTCTATAGCCAACTCCTGCCGCTGCCTACTCCCCCCATAATCTCCATCTCTTGCTTTCCCTCCCCTGGCCATAAATTTGCTGCCTTTTGCACTAGTCAAATCTGATATGCTGTGCTAAATATTTTAAATGTGGCAAACGATCGCTCATCGCAGAGTGGCATGATTGCATTACAACGTATTAGAACAACATGACTTTGCCAGAGGGTGTTTGCTGGCACCGTGCCGAGTGAAGGAGACAGCCCAAGTTTGAGAAGTAACTATCAAGTCATTTATCAACATTTGGTCCTAAAACATACAAGGTTGCATCAGCTTGAGCAGGCTTAGAGAGATAAATCTGGAGACTGAGCCAGAAACCCCAAATACAGATAGAACTTGAGAGATTTTCTCGAAATCCAGAGCCCTATCAAAATGTCAAGCTGAACTCCCATAACAGATTCAACACATGCTTCTGGCATTTATTGTATTGCATTTTGTCTCCCCTTTTAGGTTCAGATGAAATACGTGCTGCTTTTCAATCTCTTGGCCAACCTGTGAAAAGGGCTGTTTTGATCTCACATTACTGTAGCATAATGGAAGATCTTCAATGAAACAAGTGGAATCACAGAAAGCCAACACGTGGTGTCTAGAGCTTGTTTTCATTCATAATATCCTCATAGGATGGAGGCAACTCAATCTCCCCAAGGCTGAACTGTGGGGCAGGAGAAGAAGACATCTCTGCAGTCATGCAGGGGATCGGAGATCCAGAGAATGGGCACTGAGGCTCTTCACTTGCTGGAAAAAAGCAAAGCCATAACCATACAGCAGAGAGGTGTGAAGAGTAAGCATGGGGATGAGAGGGGTGAGCCTAGGAGGAGCTGTCAAACCACTTGCAAACAAGAAAGGCATGGATGTAATTTTTGAAGCATGGCATCACAAAGCCTCTTGCCACAAACTCCAGATGCAAGAAATGAGAACAGAGGAATTTGGGTGGGTTTGGGGTGGGTCCTCCCTGTGGAGACACTGTTCATGATCAGCCAGAAAGAAGGCCATACCTTCCCTGGGAAGGGCTTAGTTTAATGACAGAATTAGCTTTATTCTTCTTGGAGGAACTGTTGTCTGGCCCAGCCTGCTGATGCTGCTGGCAATACTCCAGGTCAGTGCTGGGTGCTACACCCAGTCATTATAGCCTAGTCCTCAAAAGCCTGAGTGCTCCTTGCAGAATGCTGAGGACGACTACCATGATGAACAGCGCCCACCAAGACAACTTTTTGACAGACCCCATGGTGTGTCAGCCTGCTGGGGTGGCTCAAATAGACTGCTGTGGTCTTGCCTGAGTGAGAAATTCAGCTCATGTGTTGAAAGGGCTGCCTGACCCCATGCAGTGCCTGTGGCTGAGTATGTCAGGTAGCTGAGTGCCTTGGCACCAAGGAGAAGGTCCCACAGATCTCCAGTGTTAGCGTGGCCAAGCCCCAGCTAGGCACCTTTGGGACACACGGACAGCACTGAGTTCAGCTGAAGGTATAGCTGGGGAAAAGTGGATGTGGCTTGCCCAGGCCCCCCAGTCCATGGTCCAAACACCTCCCCACAATGCCTGAGCTGGGCACGCCACTGTTCACCAGAAACACAGCACCTGGCTGCAGCCCAGCTCCCACTCAGGCCTGTCCACTCTTACTGGGGTATGGATGAGACATGGGAAGCCTGCTGGGGTCAGCAGGACCTCGCAGCCTGTATGGAGAGGACTAACCACAGAAGCCATCCGAGCTGCTGAGCGCGAAGACGGCGAGGGTGCGTCGATGGAGGAGGCAGCTCCGCCGTTTCAGCCAGCACTGCAGGCAGCAGCAGATCCCGCAGGACAGGAGCAAGGCCAGGAAAAACAACATCAGGAACCTGAGGCAGAGGCAGCAGGGAAGGAACAGTACCATCACCATCTGCGGGCAGCACCGACAGATGGCTGCCTGTCTTCAAATTAACATATTCATTAACATCTTGTGCAAATAGCTGTTAAATGTTGTGGTTTCCCCATCAGCATACCGGACATGATCAAAGTCCCCAGAAACCAATGTCTCAGTGCTGAGTGCTCAGTGCCGAGTGCTGGCTGCAAATTCAAACACTTCTCCCTAAAATCATTCATCAGTTTTGCCCAGCTCGGTTGTCAACGTACAGTGAGGAGGATACGGATAAATGATTCCCATTAGTCAGTAAAGACAGAACACAGGGACAGCCCAGGAGCAATGCTCTCTAGCTATCAGTCTCTCTTAATGCCTTTCTCTCTATATATCCATCAAAGAATATTATTTGTCAGTTTTTCCCTCTAAAACAGATCTGAAACTTACCACACATACCAGCTGCTAAAGTTTTCATCGTTCTGCTCGTTGCACCTAACAAGGGAAAAATAAAAGGAACTTTCAGTCCAGCATGAGGGGACCGTACCAGCTCCAATGTTTGTCTACCAACATGAAGAAAAGCATCATCGATAAGCAGAGGATTGAGAAGGTTTCCTCCATCAAGGGAACCCTATTAGAAGTTTCTCTATGTAGATGGGAGCAGATGCAGATGATGTACAAAGCAGCTTGCAACTGATGTGTCTTTCAACACTGGCACCCACCACCATTGTTGTTGCTGGAAACACAAAGGGTTGCCAGCTGTCCTTTCTTCTTTTGGAAGAAAAACCAAATGGCCCTTTCCTGGAAACCCTCGTTCCTCTGCCGTGCTGGTCTGTCAGGCAGGAGCACAGCATCCCTGAAGGAGACCCAGTGTGGGAGCAGCGCAGGTGAGAAAAAAGAGCCACACTCACCTCTTGCCAATCTCACAGTCCGACTCAGAGTCTGCTAACTGAAAACACACAGGTAAATCAGAGAAGGCAGATATGTGTTGATTTTTCATAATTTACCAATATAGCTACTGATCTTAGAGCAGGAAGCTGGAGAAGAGCAGCCCTACAGGTGCTGGCTCCTGCAGGGATGAACACCAGCCCTCTCCCCAGAGACAGCAGGGCTGAGCTCTTCCCTCTGCGTGTCCCTGGTCTGAGCTAGCCAGTATCGATACCAGTGGATAACCTTGTAGAGAGTTCAATAAATTCAATAGTTTGCAGAAGAAAGCTAGGCCAAGGGGAGAGCATTGCTTTTGATGTGAAAGAGGGAAGGGGAAGAACAGGGAGACGCAAGCAGGTGTCAAAGACCTGCTTACAGAACTGGGCTTTGTTATTCAGAAACGTCTGCTGAAAATGTCCTGTGACCATATTCCTGGTCTGCAGCTCATTTTCCAGTAGCTAATTGTGAATGCAGCTGTAAATTGGAGCTGTTTTAACTAGACACATGCTCTACCCAGCATTTTCCTGTTTTTGGATAGTAGTGGTGCATCATTCCCAGAGTCAGGTTTCAGGTATTGCAAATATGTGAACCTGAAACTTGTTTTTCAGGTATATTTTCTACTCCCTGCTCCAGCAAGTTTATTTTTGCAAGCCTTGTTGATCTTAGCCTCAGTTTCAGGCTATCTAGGCAAGAAATAACCGGAGTGGTTCATTGGTATGATTGAATCAAATTCAATACAATTTTTGGCTGACTCCTGTTATGTATGTTATAACACTTGTCCAAATTTGCTACAAAAAACTTCAGATCAGGCATAGAATTGAAATAACACTGGGAAGCAGAATGAGCAAGATGGAATAATTTAGATTTATTTCGTGGAGAAAACTATTAGAATGTAATTTGCAAATAATTACTTTGGATTTCTTTCTGTGTATATCCAAATCACGTAGAGATTTCTAACTTTCTTTAAGTCAAATTGGAAAGCTCTGTTCTGCATTAGAAATTTGTATCAAATACGTACAATTGAGAGATCTCTCATTACAGGTCTAATTAACAGGACTTCTTTGTAAGGATTTTGTTGTGCAAAGCTTGTGTCGCTGTAAACAGCAAGAAATCACCCCACAAATCTCTAACAAGTCTGATCCTGTGCACACTGCCTTTCAGTCCCTAGTTTTACCAGAGTGAAATTATTATTTAGGTATAATAATTCTTTCATAAAAAACATTATCTATGAAATTTCATGAGCAGTTGAAACCTAAATGAGGAATAGAGAAAAATATAGAAGCTTCAACTCTTCTAGACGTGTCCTTTTAAAACTGAGCTAATTTACCATGCCACACATGCACTCTGGTGCAGAATATTTAAATTTTTTTTGCACTTCAACTGATTATTAGAATAACAGGTCAAAACCAGACAGCCGATTGCTGTGATTAGGTGTACCCTGAGTATTCTTCATGGCTGAATGACAACCCCTGGACTCTCTTTTATCATCCTTCAAACTACCTGCAAACTAAACTGCAGCAAAGTGCATCTGCTCTGAGGCAGTAATCTATCAATGTAGCCAAACACCCACTCGTGCTGCTGAAGACCCATGCTCTTCCATTTCAATAGCCATAGACAGAATAAAGGAGTAAGGCTGTCGTGTTTTCTCTGCATTAATTGGAATTGTTGTGAACATTAAATCCTGCCCAAATTCATCAGGTGCTCAAAAAATTCTTCACCCCCTTCCCCCGCACCCCTTCCCTCCCCACCCCCCCAACCCAAAAAAAAGAGGGCTGATGACTAAAATCTATAAAAGTTGAAATTTTCCCCCCACGAAATCCCTAAAATTAGCCTGGTCCCAGTGAAGGGTTTGGTTACCTGGAAGAAGGTTAAACACAGAACTCCGGCTCCTGTGATCCATGAAGCAAAACACAAAGCTCCATGTCTCTGCATCACTAGCAGGAGAAATGCAGGAAAAGCTTTGTTTGCAGCAGTGTTTTACCCTCCGCAATTTGGAGCTTCTAAAACTTCTCTACACATTGTGCCTTCAGCCAGAGAACACGTTACCCAATGGCTTTCTGTGCTTCAGAAATCACCGCTAGCCAGGGAACGAATTCAGGTTTGCATGGACACACTCAAACAGCTGCTAGAAGTTAAAGGAACACTGGTTTAAGGTCAGCACCTTGCAGTTGTTTCAGTATTTTCATAGCTGTTCACAAATTCCTGTTGCTGAACTTTAGTTCCATATTAACCCATGGCTGTATTTGACAGGACCTGCTACAAATACAGAATCACTGGGGACCATATTCTGAGGCCATGCTTTCATTCATGCTGTCTTCAGCTGCAGTTCTGGTACTACAGGAACAGCAGTGGTACCTCCAATCATCTCCCATGCACTCTGCCTAGGATCTCAAACACATGCACCAAGGATGAAGGAAACCCTTCCCAGCCTGAGACAACCACCACCAGCACCTCTACTACTGTTATGCAGATTCTAGGGGCTGCTTTGCTGGGAAAATGCGTCCAAAAAACCACATATCCCCAGTGGTTCTCTTAAGGGACACAAAATTTAGTTGCACAATATAAGGACCAATTTGATCCTAATGTATACATCCAGATGACATAGCTAAACAGGGCTGGAAGATGGTTTGCACCCTAGCTCTGATCGCTGCAGAACGGACGATCCTGGTTTGTCCAGCAGTCAGTAATAGATTGTCACTGAAGTTCACAGCCCGTGGCTGAAATGCACCATTAACTGCAGTTCTTCCAGATTTAACACAAAGGGTGTTGGGGTGAATATGTTTAGCCGTCACTCCAGAAGTTAAGCATTATGTTGTGATGCCATTACTTTAGTAATGATTGACAAAACTAAGCTGCTCTTGAGATATACCTCTGTGGCTTTGCTCCAACTAAAAGGTCAAGAAGTCTAACCAACTCTGATACGTGTACTCAACCCAGGTTTGTTATTTATTGTTAAAGTTTTGCATAAAACCAATCCAAGCCCTGGTGTTCTCAAATGTTTACTTTCAGCTCACTGCTAATTAAAGGCAAGCCTCTGTAACAATGCCCTCTAAGAAGGCATCTCTCATCATGTTGCTGAGTGCATGTGCTACACAATATAAATGGTCTGAACATGCTGGTGTCCTGGTTTGTACAATCCTTTTCTATTTTGTACAACAGTAAATTGCCAAACCAATTTCTTGGCTGTTTTCTTAAAAGAAAAAGCTTCTGCGGTATAAAAATGTGCACAGCCTTGCTGGGAACCTTGTGACTCTTACAGTTTCAGGCTTCAAAGAGATCATCCATCAAGTCAACTAATTTTGGATTTCTTCCTCCCACAATTACTTTCTTCTTGCCAGCACCCAAGGTACTTCCAATTTAGAGCTGCTGAATGGGTCATCCCCGGTATTTTGAGGGGCAGGTACCAAAATGAGCTCCTGATACTGAAAAATAATGCATAGCTTCTGTTCTGGGTCTATTTCTAGAAGAAAAAGGGAAGAATTTATTTCTGCCACTGCTCAGCTTCCTGGCCTAAAGACAAACTTTGAAGTTTTCTGCTGGTTGGTTGCACACAGAGGTTTCAAGTGGTGGCGGCAATTTGTGGAGCCTGTCCCTGTATTCTCAGTAACAACATTGGGAGGAGAGAGAGTTGGCTAAGAGGGGTGCCACGAACAGCCCTGTCTTTTGCTTGAGGGATGATCCCAGTACTGAAGAAAACCCTGCTGCTTCAGCAGCAAAAGTGTCTCTGTGATCTGCTGAGCACTTTGAATACGTGAATATCATAAAAAGCCCCAACACTTGGTCTTGCCAGCCCAGCCAGGACCTGATACCACAAGCCCAGACGAGCTCTGCAGTGAAACCCACAGCAGGCTGTGACCTCTCCTGCCCATTCCCTGCCTCCTGCAACTCTGCTGCCTTCAGGGTTCTGCAATACTGGGAGACTTGTCTTCTGGGTAGCTCTGTACCTGAAGGTTATCTCCAGTCTGATGGATTTTTTCAGGCTTTTTGTCATCCTCCCCATGAAGAGATATGTATGCACATATGTACATACATACATGAAAGGAAACCCCTGCTCCCTCCTCCTCATCCGCCTACTGACAAAAAGGTTGGTATCTCTTGCTTTCTCAATCAGTTATATCCACCTTATCAGTGGACTGGGGAGGCTGCTCTCTGATAGATGTTAACTCATGGCCATTAGATTAAAAATCTGTTATTTCCTCATCACCTTATGTCGTTGCTAGGTGACAAATGCATCTCCAGGCAGCAATGGGGACTACTGCAACATACAGCAATTTATGATTGTCCATTATCTCTTTGCTTAAAGTGCTTGGCCCTTTCAGTGGGAGGAAGATGTACAGTTCTAGCATCATCCAAAAGATGACTTTTAGAGTTGCCACAGAAACCACCTGCACTGAGGGCTGGCTCTTGGTGGGCTTCATGACAGGGGATGCAAGACTGGGAGACAGGAAGAATTTGAGAGAAACTGATATAACTTACCAAGTCTGATGGGGACAAGTTTGGACTAGGGGTCCAAATTTCAGAGACTGAGCTCATTCTTGTATGTACGTGTGCTAGAAGGGATGGCCTTCGCTTGCCTGCGTGTAATAAAATTTAGTCATGCTTTTGGTTTGAGCCAAAGTTTCAGGGAACATCCTGGGGACCTCTAGATTCTGATGAAGGTAGGAGGGAATTTATTGGCAAACAGGAGCCCACACAGAGCCCCTGGCAGCTCACAAGCACAGCTAGCAGTTTAAACCTGTTTAAAAAGCTCTTAGCTGCCTTCAAAGCATTTGGTGGCTGCTGGGAATGCCTTTTGGGAAAGCAATCACCTTGCTGAACTCTGACCAGTCCCCCAGTACAGTCCAGAATGGGACTGTGAAATAATTTTCCAGGAAGAAAGGAGAGTGGCAGGAGGAGAGGTGGGACAGACACAGGTAAGGACATGGGACAGGATGGAGAACGCACAAAGATGTGCTGTGGAAGGGAGACAAGGAAAGTCAGGGCAGCCCTGCTTTCTATATTAAGGTTGACTGATGAGTTAATTGAGCATGTGTTGGCTTTTTTATGTCACAGTGTTTTCACATCACCACCGCAATCAATTTTTCCTTCAGCCCAAGTCCGCTGGGAGCTCTCCCCTCCCTACCCAACTTTACTGCCATGGCTAGCTTGGTCTTTGCTTTTGCAGCTGCATCCTCAGCATCTGGGCTCAGCCAAGCTGCGATTATCCCTCCCAGCCTGTCCTGGGAAGGCTTAAGGCAGCTAAATCCAATTTAGCCCAAGAGAAGAGCAGGGTAACAGCGAGGACTTAGCATTGCCTCTCTGCAACAGGAGAACTAAAGCAGCTTCAGTCTTGTCCTTGCAAAATGAAAGCTTCACAGAACTGCTTGCTCCCTACAAACACACCAAGATGAATAAATCCAGCGCCAGGGAGAGCTCTTTAAGCTAATGGCCAGTGCTGGCATGGGAACAAATGGGAGCAAACTGGCCATGAATAAATTGAGGCTGGAAATATAAAGAAGGTTCACCCCATCCTGAGCAGCAAGGTTGTGCAGCAGCTTGTCTGTGGGAGGAGTGTGGGCACAAAACCAAACAGCTCCCAGG